GCAAATGACTCGACTCAACTCACTGTGACTGGATGTGACTCGACCTTCTTGACCTAATGGCTCAACTCAAGTCGAGTCACTACCTTAAAATGACTCGATTCGACTGAGTCACAAAATTCAGTGACACGTTACAACTCTGGTGTGGCAACATGAGGGTTGACTATCCCTTATGAGAGGTCCGTTTTGCAAAACTTTTCATGTTGGAAAACATTTAAAAATTGATCAATTCATCACAAATATGCCTTTAATATGGAAACCAGATCCCTGAACCGCAAATGCCCTACTTCAATTCAAACATCTAACTTCAGTCAGTAACTCATGCTACTTTGGAAAGTAGCAAAGTAGACAAAGATGGCCTTTTAAGCACGTTGTGGGATACCTTATGGGAGCACTGATAACAACTTCCAGCATCTTTCCAATTCCGCGAGTAATGCAATTTGCAAGATCTGAAAAAGCCATCCCGAAAAATAAATCGAGTGTGACAAGAGTTTTGGATCTTCCAGTACTGAGGAGACAGGTTGTCACACGTCACTTTGGTAATTGGCTGCGATTGGGATGAAGTTGACAGAGACCGAAACGCGGCTTAGAAATACTGAAGTGATCAGTTATCGGCAACAAGGCTTCCGAAACAGGGAGACGCTACCTGGCTTGGAAATCCTGCCACGTTTATTTTGTCGCCAAAGTTTTACATTTTAAGAGGGAAATATAGGCTTGCTTCACTAACATTCAAAATGTTTAATACAAACCTCCCCCCCCCCCCCCCACCGGCAGCCCCCTGCCCCCACAGAGCACATTCAGTTTTGTACATGGCTCTGAATATCAAGGCCGGCACTGTATCCGTCATGATTTGGCCCGGCGTCCTGGGTCATAATGTCAGTGATGTACTTGCCGTTTTCTGACTCTACTTGGTACGGTGGCCCACAACTGTCACGGCAAAAGCAAAAGCGCCACGGCAAGCGCAAAAGCGCCGCGGCAAGCGCAACAGCGCCGCGGCAGGCGCAACAGCGCCACGGCAAGCGCAAAAGCGCCACGGCAAAAGAAAAAGTGCCACGGCAAAACAAAAAGCGCCGCGGCAAAAGAAAAAGCGCCACGGCAAAAGAAAAAGCGCCGCGGCAAAAGAAAAAGCGCCACGGCAAAAGAAAAAGCGCCGCGGCAAAAGAAAAAGCGCCACGGCAAAACAAAAAGCGCCGCGGCAAAAGAAAAAGCGCCACGGCAAAACAAAAAGCGCCGCGGCAAAAGAAAAAGCGCCACGGCAAAACAAAAAGCGCCGCGGCAAGCGCAAAAGCGCCGCGGCAAGCGCAAAAGCGCCACGGCAAGCGCAAAAGCGCCACGGCAAGCGCAAAAGCGCCACGGCGAAAGCAAAAGCGCAACGGGTTTATTGGGAAGGGGCATAATCATACATGCCGCTACTACATCAAAAAATAAAATGGGAAGGAGAATGGCCGCCACCAGGAATTCTTATTAAGCACAGAATTTAATTCTTTGAGAAGTGATTTTATGGCTGAGAAAATAGCAAGGCCAAGGAAAACCGGTCAGGAAATAAATCGTCGATATTAATTTGTTGTAGGATAATTATTATTCCAAGAGAGTTGCTGCCGTGAATCAGAGTTTATAAAGGAGTGGGACTCACTATCAGCACCATCAGGGCCGTTCCTCATTTCTTTACATTTCGTGGGATGCAAACAATTAGGGAGGACGGGAGGCTCTGTGAGCTGATGCATTTTTTTGAAGAGTTTTTTTTCCTTCCGACTAGCATGCAGAGAAGAGTTCCGTTAATTTGAGACTTAGTTCACCCATGGGCGTCGCGAGGGGGGCAAGGGGGCGCTCCCCCCCCCCCCCCCCCCCCGGGGGAAGGGGGAAAAAAAGAGAAAAAAAGCAAAGAAAAAGAGGCGCGAAGTCATAGTGGTGTAAATTGAATGATTTGGGGGGGGGGGGCAAAATGTCCCTGCCCCCGTCTAAAACTGAGAAATCGAGAATTTGTTCAGAAATACAAGAATTTTTTGGGAAAAATATGTTTTGCCCCCTCTAGAAAAAATCCTGGCGACGCCCATGAGTTCACCGGTGTGTATACCAGTGTAGGCACACAATTGAGCTGCCCAGAGTTTGGATATAGAATAAGAAAGAAAGAAATTAACTCGGAACCTAGAACTCATTGGCCCACCCACCCCCGGCTCAAGAAACCAACAAGCCGAACAAGACCTCATGATGCTTAGCGATAGCGATGATGAGTTGCCCTGTGGACAGTCTTCCACATCATCGCAGAATCAGCCTGCAGGGCAGAAAGAGGGCTTGTTTCCGGCATCAAATAGTTCCATATTCACTCGAAACAAAGCAAACGGCTCTTTTCAGAGCCACCAAATATTCATAGAAGAGCTTAGAACTGTGCATCTCAACGATAACACTTCTCCTTTGTTTAGTGTCTCTCCCTTACCCCCCCCTTTTTTTAAGTTAATTTATTTATTTCTTATTCTATATCCAAAGTCTTCGCCTGTGTTACGTTCCTTACATGAAATCCACGACCTAACCTCCTCTGTCGAAAGCGTTGCAACTGTCTAATAGAACGATCCATTTCTCGATTTGTGAGTTATCTTCAACTCAGTCGTGTTTATTGGGAAGGGGCGTAATCATACATGCCACCACTACATCTAAAATTAAATGGAAAGGAGTATGGCCGCCACCATGAATTGAGAAGTGATTTTATGACTGAGAAAATAGCAAGGAAAACCGGTCAGTGCAAGCAACGTTCAGCGAAGAGTTTTGAAATTCCCGCTCTCTGGGAATTTCTAACCTAATGGGCCCGCGGGCGAGTTACGTGTTGACAAGCCACCCACTGCCGCAGCCCTGCAGGAGAGCCTTAATCGACTTCCTAGATGTGTATGATATACTGAAAAAAAAAATTAACTCATACACTCTGGGCAGCTCACTTGCGTGCCTACACTGGTATACACCTGTGAAAAAAGGCTCAAATTAACGGAACTCTTCTCTGCATGCTAGTCGGAAGGGAAAAAAATGTCTTCAAAAATGCATCAGCTCACAGAGCATCAGCTCACTCTTCGCTGAACGTTGCTTGCACTGACCGGTTTTTCTTGCTATTTTCTCAGTCATAAAATCACTTCTCAATTCATGGTGGCGGCCATTCTCCTTCCCATTTTATTTTTTGATGTAGTAGCGGCATGTATGATTACACCCCTTCCCAATAAACCCGTGGCGCTTTGCTTTCGCCGTGGCGCTTTTGCGCTTGCCGTGGCGCTTTTGCGCTTGCCGTGGCGCTTTTGCGCTTGCCGCGGCGCTTTTTGTTTTGCCGTGGCGCTTTTGCGCTTGCCGCGGCGCTTTTTGTTTTGCCGTGGCGCTTTTTCTTTTGCCGCGGCGCTTTTTGTTTTGCCGTGGCGCTTTTTCTTTTGCCGTGGCGCTTTTGCGCTTGCCGTGGCGCTGTTGCGCTTGCCGCGGCGCTGTTGCGCTTGCCGCGGCGCTTTTGCGCTTGCCGCGGCGCTTTTGCTTTTGCCGTGACAGTTGTGGGCCACCGTAACTTGGACCATCTCTGCCAAGCAGAAAAACAGCTGAATGAGAAAAACCTGGGTCTATGAACGTCCAATTAATGGCCTGAATGTTGTCTTAACAAGGCAACATCCTGTTCATATCATCACTGTGGCACATGAAGTGTGACTCATTAATTCCCTGATTCAAAGCCCCCCCCCCCATTCTACCACAATATCTCCCTTGCAGCTCGTCAGAGATTAAGTTTCTCTACGCGTTTCTGTTTAGGAGTGCTAGATGCCCAAATCGAGCACCTAAGGCACTAGTCTGACACTGCACAATTTACAGGGCCAAGACCTTAGACCATGAGTTCAGCTGACAAGCTCAACTCATGAGATCAGCCCATGAGCTTAGCCCATGACCTCAAGCCAAGACCTGCAGCCCACGAGTAAAACCCATGAGCTCAGCTCACGAGCTGAGCTCACGAATGAGCTCAGCCCAAGACCACAGCCCACAGCTTTGCCCATAATATCAGCGAATGAGCTCAGCTGATATGAGGTCTGCCAATGAGCTGAGCCCATGAGCTTGGCTCAAGAGCTCTGCCAATGGGGTCATCCCACAAGCTAAGTCCATGAGCTCACAACCTCAGCCCACAACCTCAGCCCACAACCTCAGCCAAAAACCACAGCCAACAACCACAGGCCACAGCCACTACAACAGCCCACAACCTCAGCCCACAACCACAGGCCACAGCCACAACAACAAACCACAACCTCAGCCCACAACCACAGGCCACAGCCACAACAAACCACAACCTCAGCCCACAACCACAGCCCACAACCACAGGCCACAGCCACAACAACAAACCACAACCTCAGCCCACAACCACAGGCCACAGCCACAACAACCCACAACAACAACCCACAACCTCAGCCCACAACCACAGGCCACAGCCACAACAACAACCCACAACAACAACCCACAACCTCAGCCCACAACCACAGGCCACAGCCACAACAGCACACAACCTCAGCCAACAACCACAGCCCACAACCTCAGCCCACAACCTCAGCCCACAACCTCAGCCCACAACCTTAGCCCACAACCTCAGCCCACCTCAGCCCACAACCTCAGCCCACAACCTCAGCCCACAACCTCAGCCCACAACCTCAGCCCACAACCACAGCCCACAACCTTAGCCCACAACCTCAGCCCACAACCACAGCCCACAACCTTAGCCCACAACCTCAGCCCACAACCTCAGCCCACAACCACAGCCCACAACCTCAGCCCACAACCTCAGCCCACAACCACGGCCCACAACCTCAGCCCACAACCTCAGCCCACAACCACAGCCCATGAAATCAGCCCTTAAGCTCAGTCCAAGATTAAAGTTTTATAGTAAGTGGACTTTCTCATCTTTAATATTCATCCTGTCACATCATAACACATACATACACATCTCAACTACATGTAAATCTCATCATGTCATTTTAAATCTCATCATGTCATATTCTCATGCTTACCATGCACAGACAATCAAATGGGATCAGCGATGAGAAGAAGATGGTCCTGTCTTCCTCAGTGAAGTGCTCTGGGATGCTGGGTAGGCTCATGGCAAGGATGCGACGCTTGCACACCTCCAAGGCTGCAACAAAGACCCGCGAAGGAAGATCGTAAGGAACACCAAATAAAAGTAGACTTTACTGACAAGTACCCTCCTCAATACTGAAAATGACAAAGAGCACTAATACCGAGGAAATTAGAGTGCCATTGCTACTGTACAACAGGTGATTTGTCTCACATGAAGATGCTGCAAGTTTGTGCTCGATCAGTTGAAACTTAGTCATTGGCACTTTTGTACCAGATGAAGTCAACCGCTGACATGTCCTTGTCAGCAGTCTACAATCCCCCTCCCCCCCCTCCCGAGTACTTGGTCCCAGCACATGAAGTACACATTATTTTTCTGACACAGCGTCACTGACAATGTCATCTGAGACGTCATGCCTGTCAGCTGCCGACAGGCAAAACAGCATCCCAAGTGTCTTTTTCATGTCCTTTTTTTCTCCCAATCAGATATGGTAACACCCACCCTTTTTAGCCCGCCATTATTTATGATATTTGTGTTATGTAGAGCACAGCAATTTGTTTTTGCAGCAGGCCGGATCACAAAAACAAAATTTAAAGGTGGATAATCTTTAAAGGTAGGGTAGCTCATTTGTCATTTGTGCAACAAAAATGCAACAAAAGTGCAACAAAAGTGCAACAAAAGTGCAACAAAAGTGCAACAAAATTGCTCATCTACAGACGGGTGCATAACAACTAACGTGATGAAGTTCTAGCTCAGCTGTATATGACTAGGAAATAATATCCTAGGATCTCAATTCAAAAGTTGCACAGTCATGTTTTGAATTGTGCCCAAAATTAGCATCTGGTACACGTTCTCATTCAGCCGATTGCAGCTACGCGATGTCACGCACAGAAACGATGAATAACGGCAACCGCGCGCACACGTGTTTGTGTTGTGTCAACGCTTGCGCGCACTCATTCACGGATTGGCCGCATTACAAACCAACGACTAATGGAAATTTCCAAAAGTGCGTCATTTGACGCATCTTTGGAAATTGCCTTCTTTTATTGTTTTTTTTTCTTTCAAAAAGACAGCATGCCAGAAAAATTAATTTCACGGGGAGTTTATTGCCATTACTATCTTTAAACCAAGTAAGGTTTTCAACCATAATTTCATCAGTTTCTTTTGGACAGCTGCAAATGATCTACTCTTAATTTAATTGACTCATGCGAGGCAATCTTGATCATCACGTGGTCCAAGTTCATTCACTTTTCCTTGAAATATGCATCAGATGAACGTTATCTCAATTCCAAATTATAACAACATGTTTCTGGTTGTGCCGTGGCAAAACATGAATCACTAAATAGAAGCTTTACTCAATTATACAAGAAATGTGTTGATATATTTTAGTCATTTATAGGCCTATTAATTTATTTATTTCAACAACACCCAACAGCGCGAGCGTCAGACCGGATAGATAAGACTTTGTAGAAGATGTGGAAGGAAATTACAGTTTTAGTGGTGGGAGGAAAACCACAGAATGATATGCTAGGGAAAACTCACGGACTCAGGCAGGGACTGAAAACCCAATCCACATATTGGCCCAGGCCGGATTCGAACCCGGGTCACAGCGGTGGAAGGCAAGGAATGTACCTGTACGCCAACTTGATCCCCAAAATGCCAAACCAGAAATTAAATAAAAAGTACCAGGGTCCTCAACAGATCCAAATTGAGTACATCACAAAGTTCATTTCATCCAACCATCCCCTGCCCTCACTTGTGCAAAATATCTGGGGACTTGATTCAACTGTGATGGGTCAAAAGATCAAGGAATCCTGGAGATCCCGTGATGAGTCCGCGTGGGATGCTTAAAGAGGTTACAAAACAGAAGCCCGGCCCTTCAGGATGCGAGCGTGACTTTGAGGGCAATGATATGTGTCATTGTCACGTCTTGGCTAAATTATCAATTTGCCCGGGACAGTTTCGAAGACCTGGGGCGAACGTCCCTGCGGGCTTCCCCGAAAGTAGATCAGAGTTTACCCCTCCTTAAAACTGGCTTACGAAATCTTGGTACTCCTTTTTTTTTTCTTGGTTTCCGGCTTATTATAATCGTCACCCACGATCCGGGGCCAACTGCACAGAAACGTGCCTAGCAGGGAAAGTTGGTGCTTAGCCAAACCAGGCGAAAAGCCGTAATGTTTTTAGTTCAGGGTTCTCACAGAAAACTTTTAATTAAATTCCGTAACTTTTCCAGGACAAAATTAGGGCTTTCCATGACCAATTCCTGCGCTGTTTTGGCATCTTAGGAAGCTGTTTACAATACACTGGCCAGTCATCATCCCAATCAGGTAAGGGACGCAACTCCCTTTCAGCCTTCCGCTTTGACACAAGACCACTGAGCACCACAAAAGCATCACAATGGTGCACTGAACATGCAACGTGTACAGAGCATACTACAATGTACATACAGAACAAAAATATAAAAACTGGAATGCAAACTTGAAGATTGTCCTAGCCAAAAATTACGCATCATCACGTATGGGTTGTGCAGCATTCTATGACTCTTCCACGAACTTCTGTCTACATCAACTTTCCGTGACTTTTTCCATGACTGTTTGAATTTGTGCTCACTGTAGATCATAAACGTCGCCCTCTGCAGTTTGTGCACAAAGCAGATACAATGTTAACTCCTGTGAATCACTGAGGCAGAAACACGTGGGAATTCTTTTGGAAGGATTAAAACGTCTATTTTATGAGTCTCAGTGGTAATCATTGGATCTTTTGCCACACATTCTACGGGGTTTAAAGCTTACCCCATTAACGCCCGAGAAGTTGCACCAATGATTATCAATACTTAGTCACCATTATTCACGACCACTATCTCTTTGCTCAAACTTGTCGAGAACAGAATAGTTGACAGTTTAAACAGTCCCAATTTGTCAGTTGACTTTGTGTTATCATCCCTAATCAACTGTTTCTTAATTATGTGTTGATAGGTCAATCGCTGATTACGAGTTTGTACTACCGTATTGGGGTGACTGTGCTGTATTTGGCTCTAGATGTTGATTGTCGTGAATCTGAGGAGGATTGAAGCAGGCAGTGCATCACAACTTTGCCTGTCGCTTTGAAAGTGATTTGCAAAGAAATTTACAGGCGCATAATATGAACCTGCAACCTACGGAATACCAGGCTGATATTCTACCCACTGAGCTATGTAGGGATCTCCCCAAATTTGTCAGTGTCTTCGCTTGCAGGGTGCTGTGTATGTGCCACGTGGCCAGGGATTATACCCAAAGTCACAAAGATCCAAATGTTGCAATGCTGGATCGGGTTGTCAGTCTAGCTATTTTTGTGGATTTCCCTGGAAGTTTGCTCCAGATTTTGCCGCCCATTATAAAACTGAATATTTCTTCATTGTTTAGGTTTCTTCGGGTTTCTCAGGCCTCGTCTGAATTGGCTACTACGGCCATTTACCATACCTGTGTATTTTCAAGGAATCCTGCAGTGTCTTACTGGGGCCAACTAAAATAAAAGAAATTAAACCAAAAAACAAAAAACAAAAAACAAAAAAAAAAGGGGGAAAAAAAGAGAAAAGTTCAAATGTCATGAAAGTTAAAGGGAATTATGTTTAAGACACTCACTGTAATCAAGACTAGGAAGAAGTTGTAGTTGGTTATCTCCCATTGAGCTATCAGGCTCTCCGTCTGTTCCTGGTCCTGATACAGAAGAAGTCTGCCTGATGTCTCCCACTGTTGAGGTGGTATCTGTGTCAAAATAAAGCACACAGAATGAGTAAAACATGAAAAATTATTCATGGAATGAGTGATTGCATCTTCAAGGTTCAAATTTCAAGTAAAAATTTTGCGAAACTACAAGGCTGGTAGCTCATAAATTTACCTCAAATTTACAAAACCAGCGCCAAAATAACTGAGAAATACAAGACTACAGCGTACAGGGCTAGCAACTTGATCACTGCCCGAACAATGAAAAAACAAAAAGGGTAAAATCTTTAAGACTTCAAGTATCATTGGCAAAGCATGTTCAAAAATTGAGAATTGGAAAATGGACTTTTCCTGCACAATGCGTGTGGTTTGTGCAAAAAGTGAATACGGAACAGAAAGCATGTAACTTTAATATTCAAGTTAATGTGCATAATTCCATAAGATCTAGCTCTTTGCGAGAGACAATCACACAGGAATGGCACGAACAGGCAGAAATGTGATGCGATCAAGCTAAATGAGTCGTTTGTCGGGAATTTTTATTTGGAGATACAGGCCAAAATAGGGCCACTTCATCACATCACTTCATCACATCTCTTGGTGTTCCAACTTCCATAATTTTTGAACTAAAGATGGCATCAGCATGCGGTTTTCACAGCATTAATGCTGAGATTGTGCTCTTTTCAAATCTGTAATAAAAATTTTTTGACCAGGGTCTACAAACGACTCATGTAGCTTGATCACATCACAAATGTTGTTCAAAATTAAAAAATAGTAGGCCTAAAGTTTGAAGGTAGCTTTTTTAACCTGAAAACACAAAAACAGACAAAAAGTCTTGAGGATTGGCTAACATCCAATTCCAATTTTTCTGATTGCGAGAAAGAGGCATGTTTCCAGAAAACAATGTAACTGTACAAAGCATGGATAAAATAAAACCCTAATTTCCACTTTCAAGCTCCTAATATGCAGGTGAATGACCATGAAGTAGTTTACCTACTACCCAGGTTCATGAACTCAGTAATCTATCGTTATCAACAAAAGCCAGATAAATATCTTCCTGTTTAAGCTGCCTTTTTTGCCTGTACTGTACACCTGGGAATTTACCTGACAAAAAAAATCTGTCTTTCAAAAGATTTTTCTGATAAAATAATAAGCTGACCTGGAAGAATTTAAAAAGTAAGAGAAAGTGTAACGTTTTTTGCACAAAGTAGACAAAAATAGGGAAAACCATGATTACTGCAAGCGCCCGTGTAGAGATATTTGTGCCCGAGTTTTGGTAAACCATGGGTTTGCTAAGTTCACTGGATCATTTTACGCAATCAAGCACGCATTGCGCAGTGTTGAAAATGTTCCAAGCAAGCACGCTTGTTGCTCGAAATGTGTACGAAATACGACGCAGCCGATGCGCGTTATGCAAGTTGACGCTGAGAATGCCGATGGACTTGGATGGTCCGTAGGAAATGACGTCATTTGAACGAGACCTATTGGAAGGAGCTGAGAGTGCCTGCATACCACCTGAGCGCGATTCTCGCGAGCCCGATGCCGCCTCATAAAAAAATAGTCTATAAAGTTTCCTATTTTATTTCCCCAATTTAATCATCACCACACCACACTGGACTTTTTTTAAAGCACAACCTTAGTGTGTCACCCAGGGCTTCTAGGGGACCCAAAAAACCTGGAACTTTAATTTCCAATGCACTCTTTTAAACGCCTTTGACAAGGAAAGTCCCTGCCACGTGCTGAAAATGTTCTCCGTTGTCACTGCTCGAAGGCTACAGCTCCACAGGAGCTCGCATCCAAGGTTTTCTCACGATACCCCGAATAGAAAAGCAGAGGAAATCCCCCATCTGCTGTTGTTGTCACCCCTCCGATAAATCCGCCCCCTTCTGCCTTGTTGTTCAACCCTCTTAATCACAACTGAAGGGGCGAGGGGTACAATCATAGCCCCCCTCTTTTTTTTTCCTTTAATGAGGGGGAAGGAGCAGTTGTTGGGTTTGGGGGGTAATTTGGTCTGGCGTGGAGGATCAGGGGTGTTGGGTACACTCAGAATGTGTCAACTCTGTTATTACACCGTTTCGCTGGCTTTCCCGATAATCGGGAAAGCTTTAAAGAGACCAAGAGCTTTCTTGAGGTCTGGGCAAATATAGTAACGTGATTCAGAAGAGTGAGGAATGCCTTAGTATTCTTGGCTTCGATAACATTGGCTGCGAGTAAAGGAGAGTGTTGCCTTCTTTGTCGAGTAAACTGGGTGGAGAGCAATTTTCATACATCTGTATTTCTACATTTCTTTCAATTCAAAAGTTGAACAAAAATATTTACTTGAGCGGGGCTTGAATCTGCGACCTACGGATAACTGTTGCAGTGCTCTCACAAACTGAGCTATCCAGCCCTATGTTGGCGGTTCCCCAATTAGTCAAATATCATTTGTTTTCGTTTAAAAATATGTATTCTATCTGGTAAAGAGCAGATCCAGAGAGGATACTGAAAGGGGTGGGGGAGTGCCAAGGAGGGGGGGGGGGGGGGGTTGCCAGGGGGAGTGTAGAGGCGGGAAAAAACCCTGAATGATCTAGTGATGAGTAAGGAGGCTTTTTACCACATCGCGCCGGAATAATTTTTGCCGAAAATTTATATTTTCGCAACAGGCAAAATTTCCAGCCAACTTCTGATATACAGCCAAATGCCATGAATACTGATCCGCAAGAGTCATTTCAACAGTATTTGTACGATATTTCTTGCCGAAACCTCGTATGTTTCAATACTCCGGGGTGTGCACTGGAGCGTGAATTGTAGAACAAAAGGCCGTGCACGACGGCCAATTCAAGATCAACACACGGTCCGCCTCCACAGACTTTACAGACTTTGTGTGTATGTACAAAAGACACTTAGGGATTAGACGTCACCTGGAAGAGAGTCGAGGCAATCTTGACATCTTAACCCGTCAGCTGTGCCTGTGTTTAAAAACAGCCAGTGCCTGTTATCACGTCCTCCGACGTGAACTGGTTAACATTCATGTCATTGTAAATTCTGATAAAATTTGAACCCAAACAAGCTTATGACAATTGAAATCTGCAATTTGCAAGCATGTTGGTTGTGGTCATTGCATCATTATGATGGCTTTAGCTTCCTCTCTTAATCAGTAGCTTTTGACAGTTTTAAGCACCTCATCTGCAGTGTACTGCTTCCCTTGAATTTTCGACTGTTCGCTAGGGCTTCAGACAAAAATGAAACATAGTACCCGGTAACTGTAATGTATGCTTTCCAAAGTTATATTTTAAAATCTGAACAAAATCATTTCCTTCAGTAGCTCCACCTGATGACAAATGGACAATCTAAAAGTGCTTCCAACCAAAAACGAACCGCCTTGTGGTTATTAAAGTCGATACTTTGACTGCGGATAAAAAGGTGGATGAGTAACCTCTAAATCTGCTTTAGATCGACAAGACTTAAGATTGCGGCCAAAGGAATTTAGACCAACAGTCTTAGGAGTGTACCCCTACACCTACAATCAAGTGGATACTTTAACAACCATAGCTTAGAGCGAAGTTGGTTGGTTGAGATGACCCCTGCTGCACTTTGGAGGGTGCGTCATCGGCAACATGACACACCACGCCAGCTGATGAGCAAACAGTTGCTCACTGCAGTCACTTCTCGTCCCCCCGCGCGTCGACTACAACTAAGCATGATCAGGCCTGTTACGACCAGCAGGTATGCACTGATAGATCATGCAGCATGTGACTTTTGCTAAGCATTTTTTTCTTTGAAGAAAAAATCTTGGGCTGAGCGTCCCTCGATGTTTCAAGGGTAGGAAAAGAACAAAATAACTTTTTACAATAGAAAATCTGTATGTGGAGAACCGTGTTTCACTGGTTGCAGCATCCAACTCATGCGTGATGATTGGTTCCGTGACGGGGAACAGGGTACTTGTGTTCTTGGGCAAGACACTTTACTACAATTGCCTCTCTCCACCCAGGAGTATAAATGGGTACATGTACCTGTGAGGGTACAGGCCAGATTGCACTGATGCTTGTGTTCTTGGGCAAGACACTTTACTACAGTTGCCTCTCTCCACCCAGGAGTATAAATGGGTACATGTGAGAGTGGAGACCAGATTGCACTGATGCTTGTGTTCTTGGGCAAGACACTTTACTACAGTTGCCTCTCTCCACCCAGGAGTATAAATGGGTACATGTGAGGGTAGAGGCCAGATTGCGCTGATGCTTGTGTTCTTGGGCTAGACACTTTACTACAATTGCCTCTCTCCACCACGGAGTATAAATGGGTACATGTGAAGGTAGAGGCCAGATTGCGCTGATGCTTGTGTTCTTGGGCAAGACACTTTACTACAATCACCTCTCTCCAGCCTGAGCCAGGTGTATAAATGGGTGCCTAGGAGAGAGACCGGACTGTGCTGATCTAGGGCTGCTGCAGAAAACTGATAATACTTTGGGTAATAATTGTTAAGCGCTTTGAGACGTCGGTACGAAATGCCATAGCGCCACCGACTGTTCCCAAAACCGAGTCCATAGAATGTTTCTAATTTATCACCGGTAAATCGCGGTAAAACCAAATTCGCCGTGCCCTCAAGCGTCACCTTAAATGGAAGACAACATGCTGAGTGAAAAATGGCTCCAATTCCCATGTTGGAAACAAGAAAAATATTAAAGTCCGGCCCTTTTAGGATTATATTGGCAACATGCCAACCGAATGTGATGATGTGTCTCGGCGCCACAGTCCAAGCAAAGTGTTGAAATAAACGGGGGGAACATGATGGTTTATTTCTCTGAAAATCCGAGCCCCGCCATTTGGAAACGTTGAGTGAGCGCGTATTTCAGAGAGGTAAATCCCAGGAAAGGGCTGATTTGGCTAGATAAACATGTTTGATTGGGCCAACACTCAACGGGGGGAAACAGGGTACTTGCAATTTGATTGGAGCACCTTTTATTTGGAATGTTGGCGGGCCTGTAGGCGCCATCGCGATGGGGCAAGGCGTGGTAGGGGTTCCATGTTGCAGATGCTGCTATTCGTGATCAAAATTTTTCAGTACTGAGGTTGATCAAGGCCGGATCCAGAACCAAATTTTTTGGGAGGGGCAGAATTATTTTTTTGTTCCCCCAAAAAGTGGGTCCAAAAATGTTCCGCCCCAAATTTAACATGAAAAGATTGCTCTTGTTGAGTTTTGTGCGTGGTGTACGCAGTGGCTGCCTTTTGTTTAGTAAGCATTGAAGTCGATGTATCTGTGTCTTGTGTTCGCATTATACAAAAGTGAGTTGCTGATATCAAGCCTTGCTGTTACAAATGCATGGATTTAATAATAATTCTGCTACCCCATAAACATGTATTGCGGATCTCTGCAGTCAGAAAGATGTCTGCATCAGCATTTTATATCTAAAAAAAAAAACCAGCAGAAACGGAGCATGATTTCAGTGCTTGTTACAAAACACATCACTCAGTTGCGGAAAATAGAGGTCAAGTTTTGGCATTCACTTAAAATTGATTAAGATCCTTTTGCAAGCCTGGGCAGAGGAGCTGTAGGATTCCCAGGGAGATACAAAATAAAGTGACCAACAGACGGACTGGTGGCCTTGTAGAGCCCATTTAAATGCAGACCCCAGTCCTAAAATATTGTCCCAGTGCACTTTAAAGTGTGAAATACGAGAGGCCAATTTAGCTATTTATCGCAAGTCATCGCAGCGCCGGTGTGAAACAACATATAATAGCGTGCCTTTGTTATAAACGGCAGGGCCTGGGAGGAAATTAGTAATTTTCCCCCAACGGGCCCGGCCAAATAAAAAAAAAGTTGATGCCAACCAGTCTCTCGCTCTGTCAATTTGCGTTGATTGGAAACGCGTGTAAGCGCCGCCCGCGTTCCGTGTTAATGCCGTATTTTACAAGCTCCCCGTGTGTAGATTTAAGACGTCGGGACCTTGGGAGCATGCCCAGGGGATAGGAGCTATGACTCTCATGGATCGCTTGCACTTTGTACATGTAGGCCCGTTAGGGGTTGAGAATTAAGATTTTGAGCAATCAAAAATGAAATTGAGGGGGGGGGGGAGGGCATTGGGCGGGGGTGGGTGGGGAGAAATGGGTGGGTGGGCGTTGGGATGGGTGGGTGGGGTGGGATGGGGGTGGGGTGGGAGGTGGGGGTAGGGCAGTTTAAAAAAAATGATGCCTTGTGGCGACCCGAGTACAGGTATATAATACGAAACGAAAGATTGTAAAGGTCTCCACAAGGCAATTTCTAACGGTAAAAAGGTCTCCACAAGGATTTTTTTCTACTCAAAAAGAAGGAATTTACAAGGTACCGGTATACTTATCTGTCGCAAATTAAAGTATTTTATGTAAGGGATATTTGGTAGGAATTTAACCCAGGAAAGTAACTCGGGTTAAAATAGGAGCATTTTGAAAATAGCTTTGGACCCTCTCACGACTTTGTACACGAGAACAAAGCGATGTCTCCACAAGGATACAAATGGGTGAAGGTGTGGGGTGGACAAAGTTCTAGGAAAAGGTTGTGAGGCCCTTACCACCTTGAAGGTCTTTGACAGCTTTGAGAAACCTCTCGTCCGCTGTGGCACTGGTGACGATAAACTTTGGCTGGACCTGATGGAAAACTACGAAAAAGAAAAGCAAAGCAAAAGTTACAGGTCTGTCATTGAAAAAACAGCAAGTTGTAAAAAAAAAATCCCTCATACCTGTCTTGGAATTTCACAAAGTTGTCATTTACACTCAACCCCAAAAGAAAGTCCCCCCTTTTAATACTTTTTGTCTAACTCAAAAACTACTGAGTATCTCTCGCTCATATAACGACTAATCAGTACAGAAATTCCTTAGCAATCCAGCCATACTCTTTATTTGGCCCACAACAGTGATAATGTGTACGAATTTATGCAATTTATGACAAATGATACCGAAAACAGTTGCACTTTTGTATATATGTGCATGTTGTGGTTCACTTTCACCTTGCACGTATACAAAAGTGCAACTTTTTTTCCGGTACCATTTGTCATAAATTGCATAATTTTGTATACATTATCACTGTTTTGGGCCAAACAAAGAGTATTGCTAAGGAATTTCTGTACTGATCAGTCGTAATTTCAGCAAGATGTGCCCAGTAGTTTTTGAGTTAGACAAAAAAGTAGTTGCACCCCCAGTTTGAAAAGCGTTCTGCCGCCCCTGCTCTGAAGGTTTCTTCAGGGTTGTGAGTTACAGTTTGCACTTAAACAAATTTTGTGGGTAGGCCTGCACCGCGTTATGGGGAAGGTTTTTTTTATTGTTAGGCAAATTAGGACCGAGTTATGGGGACTTTCTGCTGTCCCCACAGCAGTTTTGTTCCCCACAAATACCTCGTACAGATGAGTGTATGTCCCCACAACTACGGAACAAGAATGCGTGGGTTTGCTACCAGAAGAACAAATTTAGTTTTTGCTTGTGTGCATAAGCAACACTAAACAACAAAAACTTGTGACGCTCACTCCTGTTTTTTTTTCTTCCAAGGATGTACGCCCTTCCGTGGACATTATTGCCAAAGTTGTAGCAGCTGCGCTGAAATAACTACAAATTACACCTCATTTCCAGCCAGTGGAAATGAATGCAGTTACAAGTGTCGGGGGCAATTTCCAGACCTAATTGTCCACACATGGAATGTTTTAAAGTGGGGACACCAAGGGCTGGGTTGAGTTCAAACAGAGGCTCTACTGGCAGGCTTTGGCCATTTGAAAAGATTCTTGTGTTATAGTTTGGGAATTTACGTGGTCACAATACATCCGAGTTTTTTTAAGATAGACTTTGCGACAGGGAGATTTGAATTTTATATTGGGTTTTGCTCTTTGCTGATGTGTTTTATTAACACTGTTTAGTGTTGTCCGAAGGCAGGGTTCGATTTTAGCGGTAGCCCGCTAGCCAATTGCTAGTCAAAACAGCGGCGGGCTAGTCAAACTATACCTTAACTAGCTCAGCTGGCGAGTCAAAAATTATTGGGCTATGGCAAAGATGAAAGGACAGTAAGAAATAAATCATTAAGTTCAATCTGTGTCTAATATTATTAAATGTTTAGGGTTAAATTATTAGATCTGTTTATTAAAAACACTGACAAGATTGCCTCAGGATACACGTTTTACATGTATGCACATTCTTGTTTATATGACACTCTATAAAAGAAAAATATGCGGCTAGTGAAAATGCCTGCAGGCTAGTTAAGAGTTTGTTTCAGTAGCCCGGCTGGCTAGTGAAAAAAAAGTTAAGGTTAAACCCTGCCGAAGGCCTGTGAGAAAAAAAATTCTCAAGCTTACTTGGGTAGGACTCGAACCCACGACCTCCCGCAACCAAACTACTTGTACGATGGAATTTGCGTTGGGGTGATTGAAATTCCATCTTACAAGTAGTTTAATTGGCTGCAGTACCCGCTGCTACATCAGAATCAAACCGGCCAGCCGACCCCCGGCATGCTTGGTGGTCAAGTGGTAAGACGTCTAGCAGTATACGTCGTTGGTTCGAGTCCCACCCAAGTAAGCTAGTGAATTTTTTCCCTGCAAACCTTGAACACTTGAGTAAACAGTGTGTATACATGTAAATACATGTACATCCGGCGAACGACAAAACCCAATTGAAAAATCTGAGTCCTTGTTTTGCAAGTTGAAATTGAAATTGGAAACACTACCCAGGACTAGTGACTACAAGCTGACACAGTGGTGCTCAAATACAGGGCACAGACAAACGAAGTTTCCTTCATCAGGCGCCACTCACTAGAGGAAGGATTGAAATTACAGCAGGCCGGTCCAATACAGGTTACAACCGACTTCCAACAAGTAAATGAGTGTTCCTTCCAAAGTGGGAAATGCATTAGTTCCTCCTTGCAAGCCAAGAACGAGGTGTTGTCTTATGCAATTAGCGGCAAGGGCAGCCGCAGCGTGCAAATAACACGCACATGGTAAATTGAAAACTACTTGACGCCAGGTTTACGCACTGCACTTTTTTTTTCTGGTCGAGATGTCTTCACGTTCATGCCGTCCTGAAACACGATCGATACTTCCTGGATTGCCCAAAATAGTAACCCAATTGAAAAATCATCCCATTTAATGGTGCTCTTCCCTATTAGGCACGAGTGCGCGGATAGTGGACCAGGGGAAAATGGATGAGTTCCTTGTTGCTTTCCCCCCAGATCACTGGCGCTGTGAAGCAATCAGGATGTAGCGAGTCAATTCAGAAGCACATTTCCAATGGCAATCAATTTGGTGGTCCAAAATGATGAATGAGCATTTTTAAACAAATGACTTCCACCTGACACAACTGGCTACTGGAATTGTTTTCAAGTTTATACTTATGACTGAGCAAAGGACTTACGGTAAATGACATAATAGATGGTAGCAGTAATATGATACTAGCAGGTGTTATGCCCACTTAACATCTAAAAATCAACCCTCAACGACAACAGCTCTTTGGAATTGTACTTTTTAGGGGGGGGGGGGTGGTTGGGGAAGATGTACACAGAAATGTGAGACAGAATAGTGAGAAAATACTTGACCTAAAATATTAGAAATATCATCCTTTTAAATTTTTTTTTTCCATCAATAGAAAAAAAGTTGAAAATAAAGTTTAAGATACAAAGTTAACAAACCAATTTTTTTTTTTTTTTAATTTTATTTATTTATATATATTTTTGGGGGGGGGGGGAAAGAGAAGTCCATGTAATAGTCCCTGGCCCTGGCGAAGCCGACCATGGTTTATAATACGTAAACAGATTCGGCGATTAATTATGCAACTAGACTGCGTATGAACTCTAGAAACTGACCAATCAGCAGGCGCGTTCTATACGCGCGTAATTCAAGCTCCCGGGTGCGTAAACATCACGCCCACTATGAAAAGCATTTTTGTACAGGTTGTTGTATTACAAAAACGCAGCATCGAAATTGACCAATCACAATCTTAGTCCTGATTTCGGAATGAAATGCCGTCACTCATGCTTAGATCTATATCAGACATTAGACAGGAGACTGGGCTCTGTGGATAACGGGTGATACTCTGACTTGCAGGGGATTTGGAAGTTGGGAAAGGAGAAACTCACAAACAAAACAAAATGAAAATCCCAGAAAATTGTACCAAAAACGTGAGGCAAAACGAGGTGTGGCACACGCCCAACCGTCCTTGCCGTAAGTCTTAAAGACCACCTGTTTTCCTTCTCGCAAACAAAGCCAACAGGTGGAAACTAATGAAATCTTCCCCCGTGTATTTAGCAGAAGGAAGCTGGCCATTCTAAGGGGCCAGAAATAGAGGACGACACAGGAAGAGCGTTTAAAGAGCTGGCCCTTGACTTAGGGGTTCGGCACCACAACTCCGGCAGGACAACACCTGTTTGGAACAAACTCGCCGATTCCCTCCAAACATCCCTTCGCAGTTCTAAAAACTTTGAACATCTTTGTATCGGGTTTGAGCCCTACCCAGGCCCATCATTCCAGCTGAACAACACCTTCCCCCTGAACATACCTTCATATTTCTAAAAAATATGAACATCTGTGATTCAGGTTCGAGTCCTACCCAGGCTCACCACTACAGCTGGACAACATTAGTCTTGACCATCATCCCTAAAACATTATCACGCTGTATCCCTGTGGCGTGGGTTCGATTCCCACCAGTGAAGAACTAAGGGTTTGTCAAAAAGTACACAGCTTGTGTGTCTCCTACTTGTTTCAATATTAGGTTTTGCCCGTCAACGACGTATTAAACACTGTATACTCAGTGTGTTACCTACCGAGTGAAAGTTGGAAAAAAATCACTCGGGTGGGACTCGAACCCACGACCTCCTGCTTCCTACTTGAGTGTTTACTGTACCACTGTTATTTTGCCTTTGACAAAGGACCGAACCTATCCGCTCCGTTCACAAGTACCCCCTCACCGGCAAAGAAAGTGCAGTTGGGGATGACTGATCGACGCCATCTTGCCTGACTGCAATATTTTGCCGCGAAGCGCGGCCACTGCGTGTACATACTACAAATCCCCTGGTGTACCACACACAAGGAATGGCGTGCGTGCGTCAACCAGCGAAATGTGTCCCGCCCATGGGACGTCATTGCTTGGTAAAAGGGCGCCCTCTTTTGTTGGCGCACAGAGCCCATAGGCCCACTAATTGTTTACACTTCAGGTCAAGCCAGTCAGTAAGCAATTTACAGCAGTTTTATTCACTTTCATTTTGTTTCTGTAACGGTTGTTGCTTGGGGGAGGTGGGGGGGGGGGCTAGCTTGTAGTAAGTGTTAAACATACTGTTGAGACTGCAATCTTTTAATAGCTAATGAATGACGACTATTGTCAATTTCTATTACCCACAAAATAAATCTCTTCGGTCATAAGGATCATCATTGTCTTGCTCAATTAGCACCAAATTACAAGCACTGGGAGATTTTCGGCAGCTAATCTCAACACAAATAACTTGTTAATTACAATTAGATGCAAAGCACTCTACCAAAACGTCGCACGGGAGTGTCCCTTCGGATGAACAAATGCGGAGCGCACAAATACACTTGTCATGAAATGTGGCTTGTTGCCAAAAAGAAAAGGGGGGGGGGGCGGCTTTGATTGAGGCCTAGCGTAGTGAGTCAACCGTTCCACTAAGCTCTGATCGACACCTGTTGTTCAATAAGGTAATACCATCTTCGTGATTAGGACCGCCGCGTAAACGATTCGTACAAGGCATCTTAAGTAGGCTTAAGCGGAGGAAACACAAATTGAATACGCTGTGAACCACACACTGGGCAAGCTAACAGAGAGAAAAAAGGGGCTACTCCAACAGCCTTCTGCGGATATGAAAAATTGCCGTCAAGGCGTAATGGATTTGTATTATTAGAGTGCGAACATGTGACATCATGTGAATGTGAAACTAAATTAATAAACTGACTGTCTGACAAACTGTTCTCCGATTTCAAGTCCGAACTTTTTTGAAATAAACAAAGGAGAACTGGCTAGGTACATTATACAAAACTGTTAAAAAGTTGAACAAAGAAATTGATTGACTGGAGTGGGGTTTGAGCCTGCGACCTCCAGATTGCTGTTCCGGAGCTCTAGAATACAACAGTATCTTGTTTGTGAGTGGCTCTGTGCTATCTCTCATAATGGGTTGGTCTGGGCGGGATTGGAACCTAGGCCGTGCAAATTGATTTTGCTGTGTACTTATTAATTATACAGTTAAAAGTAACAGCTGAACTGTTGAACATTGACAGAAATAAACTACATTTCAACAAAAAACAGGTAATAAGCTTCAAAATGATATACAGGGTGGTAAAAAAAAACACCAAAAAAACCCGGAATGGCATACTTCCACTACCATGAGACTCAAACCACGTTTACAAATGCATGGAGAATCTTTCTAGAAGAAAAACGAAACCAAGATCGCCCGATTCGGTCCGGTAGTTTCTGTTCTAGAGCCTATTTTGTGAAGCAAGGTCGGGGTCATTTTTGTCCCGATGAATTACTAAACCGTGCCCGGGAATTTGCCTTGCATTGTAATTGATAGTGGGATTGTTACGTAATAATACCCACATGAAAGAAGTGTGCTTCACAAAATAGGCTCTGCAGCAAAAACTACAGGACCGAATCGAGAGATTTTGGTATCATAATTCTTCTAAAAGGATTCTCCATCAATTGGTACAGATGGATTGAGTCTCACGGTAGTGGAAGTACATGTATAATGCCGTTCCTTTTTTTTTTTTGACCACCCTGTATATGTTTCATTTGTGGAATTTAGATTTTTAAAAGTTTTTTGCCCATTTATAGACTTTATGAGTACCTTGTTTTAGAAGAGTAAACGTGTCGGGCTCTGCACTGTCCCTCATCATATGTATCTCGGCTGTCTCTCCGTCGTAGTAGGCCGCTCCCAGCTGACCGCCATGCCATACCACACTAAGGTGAGTCTGCAACCAGACAAAAAGACAAAAAGGTAACCTGGTGGTCAGAACTGTGCAAGAACGGCCGCAACAGGAAATCCATAAAATAGGTTCTGAGGAGGGAACATACGGGTTTTATATGTCTCCCGTTTCAGGAAATGTTAAAAATATCACACATGACAAATATTGAAAAACTCGATTCCATAAGTCATACTTTTACAGGTGTGTAATAACACGAATCCTACATACAAGGACGAACGACTGTTCTGAGCTCCAGTACAAAATGCATGGAACGGATTTACCGTCCCTTAATTGGTTGGACGCGTGATTATGGGCCTTAATACCTGTTGGCATGTTAATCGCAAATATTCCAGGTGTGCCATTTTGTCGGCTTTTCGCATGACATTTAAACGGAAATTCATTAAACTTTAAGCAAAACCACTCCTTAAGTATGCTTGAAGTATTAATAAAATAAATACTTCAGGATATAACAGATGGCATTGTGTAGTTTTTGTCGTCATAGATGGATGAAGTACATGTATTTACCAAATGTCAAATGTGACACCTTTTGCGAGAACACTGTTTATCCAAATCTCGTTTTCTACAGGGGTGTGAGTGACCGCTGATAAAAATAGCTGAAAACAGCTGAAAAAGGTGTAAAAAAAAGCTGAACTTAGGAATTCACCTATACTTTTGTACAGAGCAAGTCAGGGAAAATGCTGAAAAAAAACCTGAAGTCCAAAACCAACAAAGCTGAAATCAGCTTTAAAGCTGAGATTTCACACCCCTGTTTTTAATTAGGCTTTCATCATAAGGTTTTAGAGAGATGTGATCCCGAACCGATAAAACAAATGCATCATTTCGTATTTCATTTTAAAGCCAGAGATATTGTGCTTGGCGTTAACATGGTTATGTAGTTACCACTTATCAGAATTCAATAATAAAGCCAGAAAACGTAGGATCATGAATATTCAAAAATATAATGACATGTAGATGGCCTGACAGATCGAGCGCAGAGCCCTGCAAATTTGAAAGCCACCGCGCGCAGTGTGAAGTGGTTAAGCTGTCTGGGTCTTTGTTGACAAGTTTTCATGGTAATTGCCACCTGTACGAGACGTTATGGTTAATCCTTGTGTGTAGGATCCGTGTTAATTATAACAAGGATCAATATCATAGCTCTACTAACCACAGAATTCAATGCTTACGTCATCATTCTGTGCTAAAAACACTAGCTGAAAAAATTTCACGCTAACCCTGCAAGCACAGAATCCTTAGTTACAGGATACTGGTACATGCCCATAAGCCAAAACTCCTAGCTAACCTGCAAAATACGTTAACCGTAAGCACAAAATTTTCAGCAATCAGTAAGCGGGAACTGTTTCGCTAATGGTAAACAGAGCCATGAAATTGGGCCCAACAATGGTATTTATTAAAGGGAATGTACAACATTTGCTCTTGTTGCAATTTTTAGTAGTAAGTGGATTTGGAGGATTAGAATGAAATAGCAAATATTGCTAAAATGACTTGTTGCACGTTTTGGGCTTGAAGATGCTGGAAAAACCAAGAAAAACATCAAGATCTTCTAGTCTGGTTCCTTGACCCCACTTAAGATTAAATGGAGCAGTTTGTCGACTTTAGGGAATTGTAAGGTCAGAGAATCGGTCAGGCAGGCTTGTACCCCTTCACAGGTGTGTGATCGATTGCAAAGAAAATGCAGAAAAACTAATTCTGAAAAATTAAGAGCAGTTTTTGAAAAAAGCCAGTTTTCTCCAATGCTGGTCGGCTGACCAGCATTGGAAAAATACCAGTTTTCTTGAAAATGTCAGCACACCAGGAGCCATGATTTTACAAGGTGCTTTAGAATGTCATTCCCTAACAATCCAGTAAGATATTTTGTGATAATTTGATCATTTCGTTTTTGATGCTTGCAAATGTTGTATCTTTCCTTTAAGGCCCTGCTCAATCCAAGTTATTGAAATGCATTATTTCATGGTTTCAGTTTACGGTTCAATTTTATTTCAATTTAAAGTTTCAATGCATGAGGAAGTTTTTCTCCAACTTTTCCAATTCAATGAAATGATTTCTCTTTTACCTATTTCCCCGTTACATATTTCCCCGTTTCATGATCAATTTAATTTCAATACAAATTTTTATGCAAGTAGCAATTTCCTTCAATGGAAGCAAATATTAAATTTCATTGATACACATTTTCTTTTGTACGGTGAACCAAATTCGGTGTAAAGTAAAAACATATATTTGTAAAGCAGGAAATACATATAATTAGAACGAAAACAGAAACACAGAAACTGTTTCTGATTCTATTTATTTCATGAAAACAGGAGTTGAAAAGAAAAAAACACACGTACACAAGCATGTTTGTAAGCTTCATGACAGAAATTAGTCAAAACAAAACCAGGAAAATGTTTCTAAACAACAACCGGGTGTGAAAAAAATGTTGGCATAAACAACATGCTACAAAAAAAATCCCCAGGTCTGGATGTTAAGGAGTAGTGTTAGTCAGTCCATGGGTTACTAGAACAGGAAGGAACTCAAACGATGTGTTTTGTAAAACACGGCAAGAGACCTTTTTTCTGAAAGCAATTTGGACAGCTTTTTAACTTTCTACGTTGGTACACTTCTTCACAGCTGGCCAGCGATTTTACTTTGTTTAAAGGACTATGCAAAAATCGGCTACTAAAGACAAATTAAGGCCTCCAGTGGTTAAAGATGCACTCCCCGAAAAATAAAATTTGTTTTTTCAATTGTTTTTTTCCCTAGCATTATACAAGTTTTTCACTTTTATTTGGAACGAAATATGGAATGAAAAAATCCACCGACATTTAGTTAATTATTTCTTCACAACTTTCAACTTATTTACAGCCTGACATTTGTGCGCAAAATAAAAACCTTTTTCAGAGGGTTGCTGAAAGCCCAAAAATTGGGAGGGGGGGGGGGGGAGTAGAACAAGACATGATACATATTGAAAATTTGTTAGGATAAGTGAATTCTACTGGAAGAAACACAAATTGAACCTTAAAAAAAAATGAGCTTAAATTTTTGATTTTTTTTACAAATTTATGGAGCCCTGCATACTCAGTGTTGTTCAAGAGCTGGCCAGGAAAAAAAAATCACAAGCTTGTTTGGGACTCGAACCGGTCATCTCCTGGTTACTAGTGCAGATGTGTTAACAACTCCACTGCCGAGCTTGCTAGGGTCAGCTGATCAGTTGAGACATCTGCACTAGTAAGCAGTAGGTGAAGGGTTCAAGTCCAGCCCAAGCGAGCTCACAGGGTGTCTGACAGCAATGCGAAAATAAAAGCAAGTCCGTCCCAAGCCAACATGGCCCATCAGGCCGTTGTATGCGGTTTCCTTGGCATGAAACAACTGGGGGTATTTCTACTCCCCCTGGATGGGATGCCAGTCCATCACAGGTTGGTCCCCACTAAATGCCGGTACCCATTTATACTCCTGGGTGGAGAAAGGCAGGTGGAGGTTAAGTGGCTTGCCCAAGGACACAACACACGGCCATCAACAAGATTCGAACCCCTGACCCTCTGATTGTGAGTTACGAACCCTAACCACTTGGCCACACTCCCCACTACAATAATAAGTATAAAGTGCTGATGTAATGACATCGATGAAAGGCAAAAGCCACTATCTCCCGGATGCCAAAATTGAATTATACAAGATGTATACAGAGCAAGTTATCTTAACTTGGGTACACAGCTCCTAGCCTCACTTCATATTCCCTGGTGGCCAACTCTCCTCGTCTGCGTTAAATAAGCCTGACAGCTCAGTCCTTAAACAATAGTTATTTCCCTCCGACTAATTAATTGTCCAATGATAAACAAGTGCGGAGGGTCACACAGCTCGGCTCACACAGCTCGCTGTGAGAGCACCTTGGGGGAGGGGGGTGGGGGTGCGATCGTCTGTAAGATGGCTAGACTGCATCAGTTGAGACAATGTACCCTAAGGCCAAGTACCCTCCCTTATCGGTCAAGCTAGTAGAGGTCAGTGTTGAGATAATGAGGTCATGGGGTTAGTGTTTTCTGACTAGAATGACTAGCTCAGTGGATAAACAAGTGGAATAAATGGGAGGTATCACCCTCCCCCCCCCCCCCCAATAATATTTGGCATGGGTCCAATGGTTACAGTGTTCAACCGATGTGCCATGGTAGTGGGTTGAAACCCCGACATGGAACATGGTGCTTGTGTTCTTGGGCAAGACACTTTACTACAATTGCCTCTCTCCACCCAGGAGTATAAATAGGTACCTGTGAGGGTCGAGACAAGATTGTGCTGATGGTTGTGTTCTTGGGCAAGACACTTTACTGCAGTTGCCTCTCTCCACCCAGGAGTATAAATAGGTACCTGTGAGGGTCGAGACAAGATTGTGCTGATGGTTGTGTTCTTGGGCAAGACACTTTACTACAATTGCCTCTCTCCACCCAGGAGTATACATGTAAATGGGTACCTGTGAAGGTAGAGACTAGACTGTGCGGATGCTTGTGTTCTTGGGCAAGACACTTGTATAAATGTATATCTAGATGTATAAATGGGTATCTGTGAGGGTAGAGATCAGTCACACTGATCTTGGCTGCCGAAACATTGTCTCGTGGCCTGCTGAACAAGGTTAATAATTGTGAAGTGCTCTGAGACCCACATTTGGCGTATAGCGCTCAATTTATAATCTTCACACTTTATCATTATTGTTGAACTGAACAACTGATAAAAATAATGTCAGATATTTAAATATAAATCATACACTCTTAAGCTTTTTAGAACTAAACCTATCAGCATTATATTCCCACTTCTCTCAAAGGGCTGTGAGAGAATAAAAACACAAGTTTGCTCTGACATATGACTCAAACCCGCAACATATGTCCTTACTACTCGACCACCAAGCTTACCGGAATCAGCTGGCTGGCCATAATGAATCTCATTCTATAATCTCTTAAATTCCCCTTGTTTTAAAAATGATTTATCCGGCACTCAATATACATTTTTACGATTCAACTTTCATAACC